ATATTATAAAATGAATATTATCACTTTACACCATAATTTTTTGGTAAATTCTTTGTTAATATATACGTTAAGATTTAAAGTGAAGGTTGGTTTTTGTGGAGTCAACCAAAAATAATTCTAGCTTGTTATATTTATTACATGGTTAATCACAAAAGAAAAGAGTCTTTCTATTTTATTATACTTTGTGGTACCTTTTAATTTAAACATAAAATGAATATAAACGTCATATGTCTCATACATTAACGAAGGGAAGATTCTTGGCGAAGTGATGTTGAATGTTGATGAGATAGAACTAAGTCAACAGACACATACTTATGTTAATAGTAGTAATAGTATTACACCTACCTTCTACACGTGCAATCTGTGGGCCAAATACTCTCAAAAGTCGTATAACGCACTCCGGGTCCAATATAACAATGCCTTTAGAGTGCTGATGGGATTGCCCCGCCATTGTAGTGCATCAGGGATGTTCGTGGCAGCGAGGGTCGATTGCTTTTATGCCATTATACGCAAAAGATGCGGATCCTTGGTGTACAGATTGCGGGATAGTCCCAACAGCATCATGAAGGCAATTGCTAGCAGGTTAGACTGTAAGTATGTTACACATTGCTGTGCTATTTCGAGCGGATTAGTTCAGCAATTACTACCATGATTACAAGTTAGTGATAGTTTTTTATTTTTATTTTATTTTTTATTTTTGTTTAATTAATTTATTATACTAACATAGGAGATAAGTAATATGTATTACTAACAATAAAAATGAGTCATAGTCACTTGAAATAAAAAAGTTATTATTATTATAATTATTATTAATTGTAATAACAACACATAGTAATGCCACTCAACAAAGTATTCTTAAAATATTTATTCAATCAAATTACTTCATTATATGATTTAAAAAAGAAGTATTGTCAATTATTTAACTTTTAGCATGTACCTTATTGGTTGTTAATTATGGTACATGTAATATATTTTATTTCACATTGATTGTTTATTACAAACATAATTCGGAAATTCACTTTTAATTTTAACGTTTCTTTCTAGATATTTTGATACTATAACAAACGGAGTACACTAATGAATATCCCTCCTCTTAATGTCTCTTTGTGGTGCAGGGAGACGAAAATTCTTTGAATGTTGAAGCTGGTGAATCAGTCCGTATTTAGAGGAATGGTCTTGGTTTTAGTGAAAATTATACTGAATATAGATATTTAATGTCGTGGTTAATGAATTTCGGTTAGAGAAAAATAATGGCTAACGTACTATTTAGTTTTAAAATAACATTAAAATTATTTTAAACATCAAATATTTTTACTTAATTTAATATTATGTGTAACCTTAATATTTTTTGAGTTATTTTATTACTTAAGAGTTACTCAACCTATTATTTAGATTTGAGAGATGAAACATATTGTTTCTTTGTATGCTCATATTAATCAATATTAAAGCTATTGAGTTAAGGGTAGATTGGTATGCAAATAGATAAGGTAATAGAACATTTAAATTGTATGCAAAATATCCACTTATTAAGGTATGTACATGGCATTGCAAATTGTATGAAATCGGTCGCAGGCAAAGCCTTGTGGAAATTATAGAAATGATGACTATTGAATTAGTTGCAATTAAAATGAGAAGAAACTTCTCAGCATTCAATGGATTCAACGTGAGGGTGCCGGGTCTATCGCGTTGTAGGGAGAGGAGCTTCAACAGTGCCTGGAAATTAAGACCCAGGTGTAGGTTTAAGGGGTCCCTATCTACCGTGCGTCAAACTATCACCTCCACTGTCCAAGCTCCTCTCTCAACAGAACCAAATTTAAAAGTATGTTTTATGTAAAGAATATAAATGATTAGTAAAACCATTATATATAGAGAAAATTCAACACAGTAACAATATAAAGTTTTGTACACCACGTATGTGGAAAGTCGAATGATAAGTAAGAGTCGATAATATCTAATTATATAAGAAATCGTTCATGAAACTTGGTTTCAAATAATGTGATATGTATAATATTCATGAGGTATACGGTTTTATTGAAAAACTTTCTTTCAAGTATAAGTCAGCGGTGAAGTATGACTTTGTTAAGGGGAAGTTTGTTGAATGTGACTATATATCACTTACAGGTACACATTTCATACACAAATTACTAATTGTTACTTGCTGCTTTAATTGTCTATTAAGAATTCTTAACTGAAAAAATAATACTAGTAATAGTAAATCACATTTAAACCGATTGAGAACTTGCCCCATTTTGAAGGCACTTAAAAAGTTGGCTAAATTACCTGTCTAAAGTATACATCATTAAAAAATATTACTAACAAGAAAATACTTCACCTTTAGAAGTTTCAAATATCAGTTTTGTATCCAATTAATCAAATCAGCATATCATCTGCTACCCTTGAACGTAAACCTCCCCAAGAGTGTCAAGTGTCACGAAACTAGTTCCAAAATTTACGCTCTTAGGGAAACGAAAATATCCTTTATAATAATATATACATATGTACATGGATTAATACATCTATATTAAATGAAGATTCCCTTAATATTGTCGAAATGTAAGTTTATTTGGATCTTTTTCAACATTAACTTAGAAATTCAGAAAATTATTTACATGAGCTTAACTCATTCTGGAGATGTGATCTTTAGAGACGAACGAATAAATAAAAAACGTCATCACCAAACGAATCATTAAAATGCTAAAACACCACTACCAGTGAGTTTGTTGTATTTAATAATTTTAATAAATCAATTACTTTTTAAACTAAGTAATACAATTATTATTCGGTTTTCATTTAATTCACTTAAAATCCCTTCCCTCGGGAGAGGTGTAAGGTCTATAAACCGTTCTGCTCTCTAGAATGTTATAATAGAGGCTTATTTTGTTTGCATATTGTATGAAGTGAAGCTACAACACTATTAATAATTTATGAAAATTATGTATTCCAATCTTTAGTGCGGTCGAAATTAATGGCTAAAATGTTCACAGCTTAAGCCATTTCATCTATTTCTAGGCACTTTAGATTAAAATGAAAATTGTAGTAAGTTTTTTACTTAAACTCAATTTAAGTGTCTGTCTGTGCACATTTACATATATTTAAATATTAGTTCTTTACGTTTTATGATCTCTTGAAATAAAATAATGAAAATCAAGAAGTAATTCCATTTAAATTTATTGATTATTTCTGTTATTCAGGCGTTTTCTCGTATTTTGCTAAGAGAATATATTATTTCAGGAATTAACAAATATTATTATATGTAAAAAAACTGTAGAACGTTGTCGTACAATTTTTTTTATACCATTTACACAATATTTCGCTAGACGCCTACGCCCATATACATATATAGCAAAACTTGCTATTAAAAGTGTATGAACTGCATCATCTAAAACTATACATTAAAAATAATGAAGTAGAGTTAATCACTATTCATTTAAACAAAAAAAAATTGGCAAAAATGAAAGAAATGTCGTTTAAGAAAAATACCAGCATTAGTTTACAATTTACTTCAATAATTAGAATTTACTGATTACTTTATGAGTAGTTTAAAATATAGAAATATACTGTCACATAGTTAAAACTAATTATATTTTTTTAATGAAACAAGGGTAGGTACATAATGCTCCTAAAATTAGTTTCCACCAATCAGGATTCGAATACAAAGAAAAACATATTGAGTGTCTGTACCTTGCTTAATTTTGGTGTTTCTACTCCGAAAATATAGTTTTATACATACCTTCCAAGTAGGAACTGTTAATCTATGCTCCAAATTATTGGTGGCATCTTGTGCTGTTTATTGTGTTCAGCTGTAACTATGGGTTTCATTTACATTTTGAACTTCCAAAATCTACTTATCCGATAAAAACCATAGCATCAAATACAACAACGATCTCCCACTTCTTAGTGATTTTAGAATACTAGTTCATATCGAACAAGTCATCCACTTAAAACATTGAAAAGTTTAAATTATAATATCCAAAGCGCCTGATAAGTATTTTCTTTTTCTTTCACCTGGTAAATATTTGCGTTGAGTTTTAACTGACGCTTGTTACAATTTATCTAAGGCTCTAATTTTGGCATAAATAATGCATTCAATGAGCTACCTAAAAATGTAGCTGTTACACCTCTCGCTCCAATTTATACCGGATACAAATTTACGATGAACCAATTCCTCGTGAGTTTGTTAGTGAGCCTGTAATATTCATTGATTTTGATGGCATAATCTTTGAGGATGTTGATTTCCCCAGAAACGAGCTCTATTAACGCAACGCTCTTTAAAATTCGCGAATACAGAAATATGTCTGTTCTGGACACCAACGCACTAATATCTTCCGGGATTTCATATTGTTTCTCTTACGTATCCATCATTGTAGTCCAATACGAAGGCGCTTTAAGAATAGAGAATTTTCTTTAGTTTGGTAGAGAGTGAAGATCTAACGATGTTAAGACTTCTGTGAAGACGAAATACTCTTAGATCTAAAGAGTTATCGTAATTTATTAATAATAAATTGAAGCGGAAAAATATATTCTTATTAAAGTTGGTTTCATCCACGACTTTCTCATTTACAAAATGTTATAAGAAATATTTTTTGTGCTTGAAATACAATTTGAAAAGATCAATAGGTCTTCCCATTGACATAATTAAATAAAAGTTTTTAACAGAATTAATTATAGTAACTTATTAATCAATAAATAAATATAATTTATTCACTAATTTATAATAGCTCGAAACAATTCTTATATTACTAGTATGTATTATTTGTAACAGTTATGTTCTTACACTATGATAATATATTGTATCATGACCACAATGAAGTCACTTTTTTTGAAACATAAAAATATCAAAGGGATTTAATTGTCTTCTTAATATTGAATTGAATATATTTAAGTAATTAAGTTTAAATATTCACTTATTAATATTCTGAGAGGTAACATTTATAGTGACAGCTGACATATCGTTTCGTTTGACACTTGACTGTTGTCAAAACTCAATTTTAGTAATCAAAATGATGAGAAGTGTGGTGGTAGTGTTATTGATATCAAATATTGTGTCAGTACGAAATACATTACGAAAAGGTTAGTTATATTTACAATAACTGATAACAATATTAAGATAAACTCAAACAAATTTGTACAAAATACATAAATAAAGATACGATTTGTTTAAATATGAATTGATTACTAGTGCGTTAAAAACATGTGTTTACTTTCACTGATCTATTTGATTATATGTAAAATAATAAAGATCTTTCAATTAATAACTAGGAAAGTAATTACGATAAGCTGTTAAATATTGTTTACAAAAAGTATATAATGATTATCAAACTAAAACTATTTGATGTTCGTAATCATACAACAATTGAGTAGTCCTTTGAGTTTCACTTGAGTAATTCGTTTAAAACATCTCGATGAAATTAATGAGTCATATTAGATTCAATATTACATACTATGAAATACAATATCATTTTAATTCACGTAATAAAATATATGGCTCGTATGACTCCTTGATATTTGAAGATAATAATAGCTATTATCTATCTCTTTTGGTAATATAATAATATTTTTCATCACTAATGAATGAAGTTATTTATAATACCATATATATTTACAGATCTCATAATTTAAGTGTCAATTTCCATTTATGACGAGTTTCTAATTACATGACGCTGTCTTCTTTAATAAAAAAATACATTAGAAAACTGTTGTACGTAAAATATCTTAATTAATTCTTTGAATACATAGTTCAAACAAAACTGTAACATTTTTTAATCATTGTAACTCTCGTAGTTAATAAAAATTTAACGCTGTTATCTCAAAACTCGATTGACATTTTTAATCGTGTCACTAGTTGTTTAACTAAAGTGTAATCGTCAATTGTCTTTGATATTTGTGTGCAGAAGTATCTTAGAGAATATTGTAAAATACTGAATTATTTTTACCTTCGCGGTTATTAAATTAGTGTTAAAATTAACTTGCTTGTGTTAGATCGTTGAATCATTTTATAACATCAATAATTTTTATTTCATAAAGATAAATTCTGCTCGGTTCGTAATATTAAAAGTTTGAAAGAAGTATACCATATAAAATATTAAATAATATATATCGTAAAAAAATAATATCCATAAAAATAAGTATTGTAGAATTAGAACGAAAATTTACTGGTACCTAATATTTATTTAGCATTAACAATAAGAAAAATTATTGGATCTGAATATCATTTTTCAGAATAATTTAATTGTTATGGAATTTTGGTTAATGGTGTATATTTTTTATTTTTTACGTAAAAAGTTACGAGAAAGTCTGAACATCTCTGAATTTGGCTTTGAATAAATGTACATAATATGTAAGATAAACACTATATAAAGTAATGAAACATCAGCGAAATCTATATAGTCTATGTCTATGTTAAATAGACGGAATTCGGGAATAAATTCTGGCTCATGACTTATTCTGATATGTAAGCTACGTTACAGTAAAATTTTATTCAAATCCGTTCAGTAGTTTTTGCGTGAAGGAGTAACAAACAGTCACACATATATCCTCAGAAACTTTACATTTGTAATATTAGTAGAACAGTAGGATTAGTGAGATATTTAATGTACTAGAAAAGATTACGATATTTAGTGATTCTTATTATTTTTATTTTTTGTTCGCTTGGTTTTTGCATTCTTTACCATCTGAATAATGCGTATGTATAAACATGTATACTTTATTCAGATTTCTTTTCTATTTTGGATTTTTTCGTATACAAATATAAGAAATATGTAGTAGTGTGTACTGAATATCAAAGCTATTTCATATACCAGTATAACAGAAGATTCTTTTCTGACAATACAGGCCTTTAAAAAATAGACTTTTTATAATATAGACTTTAGTAAATTTCATAATTACCGAATTAAAAAACGTATTTAATATCCTCAGCAGATAAATACGATGACATTTTTTCCAGATCCAGCCTACTGGAATAAATTAGCTAAAGATGAACTAGAAGAAGCATTGAAACTAAAATGGAATCAAAACACTGCGAAGAATGTGATTTTGTTCATTGGAGATGGGATGGGTCCAAACACAGTCACCGCTACAAGGATATACAAAGGAGGCGAAACCCATAAGCTTTCATATGAGAAGTTTCCACACATTGGATTGCTAAAAGTAATTTCATATTAAACTCACCAAAATTTCTACCAACGAATTATTGACCTTAGTCCTTTTGTTAAAAAACCTTCTATGCTACTACATCAAGTAGTGGAAATGATTTAAATCATTATGTACTAAATTCTCTGGCGTTTTAAGAAATTAAATCATATAAACCTAAAATCTATTCGGAATCTTAATTGTTTCCAGACATATTCCGCCAACAAAATGGTACCAGATTCAGCAAGTACGGCCACCGCTTTGCTGTGTGGTGTCAAAGTGAACCAGAACACAATAGGAGTAGATGCTTCAGTGAACCATTATGACTGTGCGGCATCCCTAGATAATAGCACTAGATTGGAGTCTTTGGCGACTTTAGCGCTGAAAGCTGGAAAAAGCGCTGGTAAGCCGTAAGATTTAAAGTCCTTGTTTAAAGACTAATTCCTTTAACAAGATCAAAATTTGATGAAGTTTCAATTAAACGTAGAATTAATAGCTACATAATTTAGCGCGTTAGATAGGGGTGCTTTAAACCTACCTGGGTCGCAAGTGCCAGGCACTGTTGAAGCTCCTCTCCCTGCAACGATGGTCCCGGCACTCGCACGGTGAATACATTGAATTCTAATCTAAGAGGTTTCGTTTCTGTCAGGTTTTGTGACAACAATGCGTGTGACCCACGGTACTCCTGGGCCGTTATACGCACACAGCGCGGCTCGGCAGTGGGAATGTGATGCAAGTATGAAGGATGAAGCGAAGAAATGTAAGGATATAGCAAGACAACTGGTGGAAGATTGGCCGGGGAGAGACCTTCAGGTAAGTGGTGGAAATCATTGACATTGATAGAGAATCCATAACAGAATTCAAAGGACGAGACATAATGTTGAAAAATAAATATATACAGGGTGACTGGTGAATTACTATCAATATTTAAGGAGCATACTCGATACATGATTCACATTCGAATTATGTAAAAAAATAGACACTTAATTTTTGACAAAATTTCCGTATAAATAAATAAAGTGTTGACACGTTCCAAGTGTTCCAAGTGTGGACGCGTGCGGTGGCGTGCTGATACAACACCACGCGTACAACAAAACGCGTATGTGTGAGAGTGTGTGTGTATACCTAATCTGTAGGGTGTTCACACGATGCGTAATTAATTACATAACTTTTGGTTAACTTTACTCAGAAGTTTATTAATATTTATGTTATATTAATTTTTATTTTGTCATATATGATCGTCAAATATCACGTCCTCAAGTATCGATAGTAATTCACCAGTCACCCTGTATATATGGTATAAAATAATTACTGACAATGAAGGCAACACTAATACTAAAGAGAGAAAGATGATATATATGTATAATAGTAATAATTGAATTCCAACTACTAATTTTTTTAACTATGCAGTGTCCTTTTTTTTAAAGAGCATTGGTGGATAACGGTCGAAAACGGTACTTCAATAACAAGTTTTACTTTAAACCCATTTCGACTATATTTTTATCGAACGATTTCAGAGGCAAACGTAATAATCCAAGTATTTCATAAAATATACATTTTCAAATCTCCTGCAAAACATCTCAGTAACTACAAGATTCTATAAATGTTAATCTGAAAAATTTAGGTTTATATCGATAAGACGGCAACTACAGATTGAATTGAAAAAATAGCATTGAATTAAAGAAAAAAACACATAATAACTTATACGAAAATATTGACAATATTCGTCATGTAGATTCCCATTCACACACTGCTAAAACTTTAAGTCATAAACTTTCTACTTTGTTATTTGGTTTTCTTAATTTTTAAATATGTTCAATGGTCCGTAAGATCGATATCGCTAACATTTTTATTTTTAGAACATTTTTTAGTCAAACGTATTAGAACACATATATCAATAACTTTCTACTTATAATCTGGTTTCTTTATAGACTATAGGAATTGAAAAGCATATGCTATAATTAATGAAACCTAGGGTAAAAAATGCATATTATGGATATTCTAATTTAAACATTATTTATCACAGAACGTAATACAAATAGAATTAATAACATTATCGTAGAGTCTAGTGGAAATAATTCATTTACCGCGCGTAGTATTTGATTTCCGTGTCCGATATTTTAAATTATTTGTGTTGTCAAAAATGTAATTAATTAATTAATTTTCTTTCCCTGCAAATAAATTTAGTATATGTATTAAACAATACTATTCGGAAAGAGGGTTGATGTCAGGCAGGCGGCTGGTCGTAAAAACAATTCACCAAAACTATTCACAACATGTAAGGCAGACCCTGGCTAAAAGCTGGGAAATTTCCAGGTAGAAGAAGATGTATTAAACAATACTAAACGTTATTTCATTCACATACGTCATCTAATTTATTAACATATCTGTTAATTCAACTTATGCATATTTATCAGGTTTGGAAATATTAATAAGGTCTTATATACTTGAGTGTAGGAACGAAGAGATACTGTTCTTCATATGCTTTTGGATGCCCCTAGAGAGTGGTTTTTGGGTGAAAATATTATAGTTTTTACAGTCCTCTTTCGTAGTCATTCCCTTCTAGCCAAAACGATCTTAAGAAAGAAGTAATCTAAAGAGAATGTGTTGTCCCAATACAATGTAAGTCATTTATTACGCGACACTTGATAGACATTGGTCCTTTTCAAGGAAAATCTTGCTTCATCACTATTTGATAAATTTTATCAACTCTGATCTCTATAAGCTACACAAGCTACTTGTCTACATCAATAATATAATTTTAACCAAGTACATATTTAAAAGTCTCAAAACAATTATATTTCCAGGTGATAATGGGTGGTGGGAGGCAGAGTTTGATGCAGAATGTCACCGAAACCTCCTCAGACCCAATAAACAGCTGGACCTGTTCCAGAAGAGATGGACGTGATCTCATCAAAGTATACAGAAAGGACAAAGAAGATAGGAAACTTAAATACAGAGTTCTATCAAATAACAGAGACTTGAAGTATTTGGATGTGGCTGAGACTGATTATGTGTTAGGTAAGATTATATCTAGTAAAAAATACAACAAGGATATCTTAAGGATTTTTGTAAGGGAATATTTGTTTTTTGAGTCCTTCCGCAATAAGAAGTGATACTTCGTAATGTGGGAATGAAAACATGAAGCGGTAGATATTGATTTTTAATGATAATTTTAGAGTCTTTGAAACAAATTTGATTAAATTTACTTACAAGTCACTAATGATTTCCCGCATGCATTCTAGCGCCACGCATTCCCTGTCACTCTGTCTCCTTCTATCCCCCCTAGCGTTAAACATTTAACGCAACCTTGTTGGGAATCGCATACGAAGTTTTACTCAAGTAAATATTCAAATATAGACCCGAATAAAATGTAAAGAGGCGTTGTTAAAAGATATTCATTAAAAATGATTTCATTTCCTTAATGAATAAAATAATCCAATATATACGGTGAATAAAATAAAACCTGTCAATATTTATAATAACGTCGCACAACAAAAATTTACACTGTGATATAACTATCAGGCGCTGGCATATATTTACTATTATACTTATTATACTTCTTCAATAATAATCGATAAAACACATTGAAATTACAGGAATATTTGCCAACGAGCACTTACGATATGAAAGCCAAAGAGACAAAAGTCCTGAAGGAATGCCATCTATCAGCGATATGGTGGGAGCAGCTATAAAAGTATTACGAAAGAATAGCAATGGATACTTTTTAATGGTGAGAAAGGAAAACTTAATTATTTTAAGGCCTATTATTTTGGAATATTAAGAAATATGTTCGCAACATTATAATACCATATAATTGTAGTAAATTCTATGTTTGATACTCCTTGATATTAATGTTCTTGCTAAATTGTTGTTATTTTTTTTCTTTAATTATTATTTTTAATGTAAGGTACACTCCATGTCAAAATAACCGTGGAAACTGTTCTGGCCAAATTGTTTTTACTCGACCAAAATAATTTATTGTAATATAAGTATGTTTTCCCATAATAAATATCATAATTATAGGTGGAAGGCGGTAATATAGATATGGCACACCATAGAGGTCGCGCAAAACTAGCTATTGACGAGTCATCAGCTATGGACGAAGCTGTCAAGAAAGCTTTGGAAATGACGAATGAAGAAGAAACTTTAATAGTTGTTACAAGTGATCACTCACATACTATGACGATCAACGGCTACCAGGACCGAGGCGGGAATATATTTGGTAAAAGCTATGTACATATACTTAGAGAGAAAGGGAGAGGGAGCGAGGGAGAGAAAGAGACAAAAAATAAGACGGTATTTAATATACCTTTTTGGTTGGTTGTTTAAAATATGGTCTTCATCCGTGCAAAGACGTGCACGTGCACGTGACGTATATTCTGCCAGTGTCGTGTAATAGACCCTTTTATTATCTATTAGCTTAAAACTTTTTTGAATACATGTAATTTGAATTGAAATAATTTTTCCACAAAAATGCTTTCAGGTACAATAGGCCCATCAAAATACGACGGTGTTAATTACACGGTAATTTCTTACGGCACGGGCGGGCCGGGTTCGTTCAAACATTCAATAACAACTATTGACAACGTCACTCGCGTTGTAAGAAAAGATCCGTCAACTGTCAATACGGATGACATGTTGTATGAACAGATAGCAGCTATTACATTGGAAGAGAACTCACATGGCGGAAGTGACGTCACAGTTTATGCTAAAGGTTAGTTTTAAAATATCCATGTAGTTTTTATATACTACACATTATGAGATTATAAAAACAATAATTAAACAAATTTGTGTATCTCAGACGGTATACTACATACAATGGATTAACTTAATAGTTCAGCTGCTGCTTACTCGAATTTGATTATGAATTATCTGCAAAATTATTTGTCAAATTTATACTTTTGTCTCACTCGAAAAAGTAATACAAAGATTTGCTTTCATTTTACTGAGATGTTGTGTTTTATTTAGGCAAACCTTGAAGAAATAAACGGCTTTTATATCAAGGAAGCCACGATACATAGAACTTATTGCATGTATTGGATATTTCTTTTCATGTCTAACAAAAAGTTTATTATTTTATATTTAACCTGTTTAAAGCATAGAGTACCGATAAACATTATTAAAATAATATTTCTAAAAATAACCGAAAAGATAAAATAACTACTGTATATTTTCCACACCAGCTTATATAATAGGAAACAAAAAAATAATGGCAAGCATTAATTTACCACGAATGTATCAAATATGTATGAAAAGTATTTTTTCATCGTAAATATTGTTCAGTTTTCTAATGTTATGAAGGTTATTTTATTTTATTTATTAATATATACTGTTTGTATGTTTCAGGTCCATTCTCGCACCTATTCCACAATGTTCACGAACAACATTTCGTTTTCCACGCCATATCGTACGCGGCAAAACTCGGAGTATATTCATCGGCTGACAGTATAAGATACAGTGTTACTATATTGACTGTTGTATTATTACTATTACTGAAATCATTATTATAACTTAACACGCGGTCGAAAGACAAAAATGCATTTAAAAATCACCCATAGTCACCCATAAGACGCTGTAAAGAGGCCATATTTTATTGTAGTTTTTATCGATTTATAAATGTGAAATATTGTTTGTATTAAATCAGTGATAATATAATATAAAATAAAAAAAAGTTGTTTACTTTTAATTTGATATAAGACGGAAATGGTGTAACCCTTAGAATAACATTTTTAGATAAGATTTTGATTAGTCTGAAAAATTATTTGTTGAACACGCTATCTACCGGGACGTTTAAAACGACATCATCACAAGCTTTCCGCATCCGAAAACATAAGCAATACTTAATACTTTACTAACTTCACAATGATGTAACAGCATTATTAGGAATTGAAAACCATTCACAATGTGGTCTTTATTTAAAAAAGTACTTAATATAAATAAATTAAAGAAAGTTTTCTGGACATTAAATTTACACCACCAAGTACACTGTACAGACCTACTATTATGTCCTATAAACGCAAAATATTGTAATGAGGAATAAATGGACATATATGTTTTTTCTTTCAAGTAAGTGTTTCTTTTTTGATCTGAATGTATCAGTAAACTTAAAGAATATAATATATACCAGAAATCATGTAATTTGGCAAGATTTTTGAATCGAAAACCTTTAACGCTCCATACTATAGATCCCAAGAAATTTTTTTATTAAAAGGGCGGCGTAGGCTCGAATAAACATAGCAATATTTAAAAAATCATAAGAATAAATAAATATTTAATATTCATATTATTTTGATATATCAAACATTAATATTATTTTTGATTGTAAAACACCATTTTTAACAGAAGTAGATTAACGATTTATCCTAATAATACAACATATGTAATTTACCTGCAGAAGTTCCAAATTATAATATTTATTAATAATATTTATTATTAATAAAAGTTATTTTAAATGAAATTATTTTAATGTGAAAAGCATAACTCTTTATAGCAATATTGAAATTATCGATAGAATATTTATCGATATACCTAATTTTTAAACTTGCAAATCTCTATTCGAAAAACTAACAAAATAATAATGGCCGCGCGTGCGCCGGCGCGACTATACGGCGCCTTAAACGTTTATGGGTCAGAAACATTTTTTCAAATAATGTCGATTTACAGCTTATTTAGCCTATGCACTGTAACTGACCTCTGCTTGATATTTTTTAAGTTATACTATTTTTAATAATAAGCTTATACTTGTACGTATACAATATACATATATGCCTTTAAGGGTTGACACAGTTTTTAGAACACGTTGTATAAAAAAACATATAAAATATTATAGGTTAGTTTCAGTGTAGCTTAGATCGATGGCCAATTCTCAGATAATGCAAGTCATAAGTTTCAAAACGGGTTATAGATACAAAAATATTGGAACTATGCTGGAATAAAAGAAGTATTGTATTCAAATATAAATATTCATTTCTGGTTATTATCATAAAAATTATAGAATCATTATAATAAATAAATATTAAACCTTTATTATGTCTTTGACAATTTAATTAATAGAATGTTATACATTATTTCATATATTATTACAATAAATAGTTTACTACCATTTAATATATTATATTTTTCCATTAAATATGGCTGTAAATTTATAAAATGGTAACACTGTCACAGTTGGTAACATTGAATATTTGTGTATTATTATTTTGATATATATTTCTTCCACACAACTCCTAGCGCGATAGCTCCGGCCAGCGCTAAAAACACCCATTTGTAGCTGCGACTGAAACAAAACATATTATATTACATATATGTGTATTTTAAAAAACTGCATATCGTCTTGGATAGTGCAAATCCACGAACTAGCATTTGATAATTTCGCGTATCTACATTGGAAGCAGATCTTCAGAAGAAAGATTAAGCTGAATCATTTTCTAAATTAACAACTTTAAGTAATTAGTAACAAATTAAACACTAAATAATTACTAATTGTGATAAAATTACCTTAAAAGTCGTTAATATAGAAAATATTTCAGGTCAAACTTTCTTTGGATAATCTGCTTCCAATGTAGATACCTACGCGGAATTATCCAATGATAGTTACGCGGATTTTACACTATCCCCGACGATATATTATGTAAGAAATTAAATATAAAAATTACCATAAAAGATGATACACAATTCATACTATCTCAATTACACTGTTTTTCTTTAAATTACATATTTACCTACATACAATCTATTCTATAATATAATTATCTGAATATGGTAATAAAGTCTCATTACAAAGGTAATAATACAAATAATACTATAAAAATGTATTTAGTTCAATTATTATCTAAGTAGAACGAATTATAATTTATTTATTTCAAATATAACTATTTTTTTTTCTGCCTTAACAACTAAACAAACTATTGTTGAATTTGGATTACAGATATATCTTTTTAAATAATATATTCTGTTTGGCTTCTTGCTATTGCTGTAACTATGAAATTCACTATAATGTTTAATAACTCTACTTTTTACTATTAATACCGACTTTAAACATAGGATAATCACCCATCACACGGATATCCACGTGGTCTAGAAAAAGGAATAGCTATTAAATACATATAATAACTTACATATACAATTCTATGTATTGAATTAATTTAGAACGTAGAAAAAAGTTTTGAAACTTAAAGAATGTTTCAACGAATTTAATAAAAACAGTTATTAAATATACGTCTAAATACATTTTAATGTTTGATTCGCATCGAAAAAACTTAAAGGAATGAAAAGTATTAAAATTCGCGTATATTTAAATTTGGTTATAAGATCATATACGTCATATTGCATTATGTACCTGCAAGTACTTTCCCGCGGCACATTAATCGCACTAACTCTTCTCGAACTTCTATCTTGTCTAATTTGATCATACGTCCTTCTATAACCTGACTTAATAGGTTGCGACTGGCTGTTGTAAATTCACATCATTAATTACTAACATACAAATATATTTATTTACAATACTATTCTTCACTACAAACTCAAACGACCTGCCAGATGTTCCGTCAAAGGTCCGCCATGTTTTTTCCTTTTTTGACATTCTCGGTAAATGCGGGCAACTGATGTTACAAAAATATTAATTTTATTCAAAATAAAAGATGAAAAAATGTAAGATACATCCATAGTAACCTGGAAGCCGAACAAATTGAACATTTTGATCGATTCTCGTGACTGTAAGAGAAAAATTAATGTTTTTGTAACAATATAAAATAATGTTGCTATCTACTTCAAATTAAACTATCTAGTTTTTCGTAACTACTGGAATTTGTTCTTATGAACCAAATATAATTATACGAAAGTAGAATTACAAATAATTTACGTATAATATTATTAAAACGATGGAGTCTTAAGTTACAGAATATTAAACGTTTTAAGAATAGTGACGTAACCTTGGCTTTTTTTTCGATCGCCATTTACAGCTACAAACAGAAAAAATATGAATTAGTATTGTAAAACAATATTTTCAGTAAACTATAGCTATCAAACTAAATATAATTTGTCTTCACACCATTATCATTTATCACATAGTGAATTGAGAAATTTAATACCACTTTTTAGTTAGTGTACTAATTATTTTAATAAGATAAAAAATAACGGATAAGACTTACCAATCAACAATACTTTTATTCCGCTGATCTGGAGGCAATGTTCCAATTTTGTATTTTTTCATAATTTCCCTGAAATTTTAAAGTTCAAAATCAATAAGGTTTTATAATTGTATTGCTTTTTAATCCACAATAGAGTGATATTATAAGTTAGATGTTTATATCTATATACATATATGTGTATGTGTCTGTGGCATTGTAAGTCTCAAATGGACAAACAATTTTGATGATGTTTTCCTTATTTGAAAACCAGTATCCTTGCAATGATTGCAAACTGTTTCTTAATAAATCTAGTTCTTACTAAATACTAAGAGTAACAGATATTTTCTAAATTACTGTAAAGCATAAAAATGCCAATTAAACAAATATGTTTGTCTACATAAGATGGGTTAGAGGGAGAGGGAGTTTGGCTACATCTTATTTACAAATGGATATTACAAATTATAAATGGATATTCTTATAATTACAATATAGATAAAGATTTTAAGATGAATGTTTAAAACCACAAATTTGAAACAAAAAAGGGGGCATCTTAGTATGTACAAAAACATTTCTTAAAATTGTTACTGAAAGAAAATGTTTTTTCCATTACATTCTTATAAAAATTAATGGGGGGCCAGGGTGGGCATACTTTTCTTTTTTTTATATAATAGAAGGAAGTAGTCAACAACAAGTGAAAATAGCCTTATGTAAAAAAAATTATGGCCCCTGTTACTTGTACTATTCCTTGTCTGTATATTTTTTTTTAATTTTGCTATGTATGTACATACATTTTTTTGAACACATTTAATATATCACTCTTGTAATTATAAGTTTAGTTTAAGCTACTATGAATCCACAAATCTCTGGATTTATAATTTTTGTCTTAACCATATCTCAAATAACATTGCAATTAATTTTAAAATGAGATCAGGGTCCATTTGTGAAAGGAAAAACAGTTACAAAACAAAAACTTAGACATCCAACAACACTTTAAGGAAAAGTATGGTAAATTTTCCTGAAGATGCCCTTTCCCGTAGTAAGAATATATTGAACATACATGAGATAATTTTAAAAGTAATGTAATACAAAATATTTTATAAGGAGATATTCAGTAATAATTCTTAGAAAATCCACAGGTAACAATAAGTAACAGGTAAAAAAGTCATAGTAACTTACCTAGCATCTTCACTGTGATGTACATCTTCAAATGCTTGGGACCCATCCTTGCCGGCAAAGTCTAACAGTGATTCTTCACCTCCTGGATGCTTTATACAGAATTTAATAAATTTAACGACAGAATATGAGATACAGATGCAATAAATAAAATTTATTTGTTAACTTTAATTCTACATTTCAATGATCTAATTATTTAATATAAATTTGTAACGGCAATTTATTTTAAAAATGAGTAATCATTAAAAATTAATTAAAAACAATAACCCAGAAATGAAAACCGTTTCAAGGTAATTTGCAGATTTACAATCGAACTTGACCTTTTATAAATCGGAACGATGAATTAGATAAATAAGATTGATAAAGGGATTTAATGAACTTACTTCGTGTAAAAAACTGGTCACATCATAAACATCGTCGTGAATTATCATCCAAACACTATTTTTGCGTTTGTGTTTCTTAACTTCTTCAATGGTAATTTGTCGAGCCATGTTTTTATTACTATTTTATTTTATTTATTTATAAATTTTAAATTCTCATGGCGTTATTAATATACACAGCAATTTAGGAGGAATGTTTGAAACCGAACTGACATATTGGATGTGAATTGTGAATTCTGATGTAAACTGTCAGGTGACTATATAGTATATTTTCTTAAAAGCTAGAATATTTACTAAATGTCATTTTGTATTAAAATAATTATCATTATATCGCAATAATAGTTACTAATATCAAATATTCCAAAAAAATATTTTAATACTTTAGATAGTAATCTAACTTTAGCTACGCAAAACTATTCAAGATATTATTACAACTTACAAGTTGTCAAAGTCATACAAAATAAATATCAAACAGAACTTGACAAATAGTTTCAAATCCTGTCTTAGGTTATACTAGTTTGAATTACAACTTTTTTAATGTAACTGTTTATTTACAATCAAGCAATAAATGGCTGAAGAAATTGACTTTAACGATGCCCTCGACAGTATAGTGTTAATTGAAAATTCTTTATGCAAGGAAAGTTACGACGAAGGATACAAAATTGGTTATGAAGCTGGAAATCCTGAAGGTTATCATTTAGGCTACCACAGAGGTGCTGAACTGGGTAGAAAATTAGGTATATAATAATATATATAATAAATATATTATAGTTTTACGTTAAATATCCAAAAATTATTACTAAGTTACAGAAAAATTATTATAATTAAACCTATGTTTATTTTAAAATTTTATCATTCCAGGATACTACTTTGGCGTTGTTACGAAGCACATAGAAAACAAAGATTCTCTGTCTATCCCTGAAAAAGTTTTGAAGCAGTTGGAAAAAGTACGAGATTTAATAAACTCATTTCCACAGACAAATTCAGAGGATCATGATATTCTGAATTTGGCAGAGAACATACGAGCCCAGTATAAGAGAGCTTGTGCATTACTAAGGATTCCATCTAGTAATCCTTATGACACTGAAGTTTCTTTTTAATAGAATAAGTAAGAGTTTACTTTAAACATATATCATAAAAAGACAAAATTATTAGAAAAATGTTCCATATTATAAGTTTCCTGAATATCTTTTATGGTTTAAAGCTATGTTGAGCTTAATATGTGATTTTAATGCTTAATTATACTCAGTTCCTTATAGAGCGGTTGGTAAAGCAACTGAAACCATCTATCCCAGTAGTCACGGGTTCAAATTCTGCTTATGTTACATTAATTTTCCATATTTTTAATTGGGATTCCTTAAACTATATTTTTTGACAAACCATAATGTATAACACATAATAATTTTAAATTTTGATCAGTCTTTGTTATTTTGGTACCATGATCACAAGGAGATGTTTGTATGACATACATAAATTATATACTTTTAGTAAATTTTTGTAGTTTTGTGGAATAGATTTTCTATGTATTACAATAAAATAAAAAATGAAAATAATGTATATTATATGTATTAAAATCCATAATAGTAATACTAATATGTTAAAAAACCATTAACTTCAAAAGAGTATGCCATAAATTAATATTTTCACATATAAAAGTGTGTTAATATATTTTATTTGTTTATTTTCCAGGAAAATTTAGTATGGAGTCAAGTATAGCTAGAGTGAAATATGATTTAGATGCAGCCACAACATTCCTTGATCAATACTTACATCTTGCTAATTGTCATATGGTTGAATTCTTCACCGAGAGCCATTGGGACAAATTATTGCCAAAAAAACTGAGGAACTATCTAGATGTATGTGAATTATCTGAAGCCGTTGATAATTTTTGGAAGTACGCTGATGGAAATTATTGTGATGGTCAGTTTTCTATTGCACTTATAACAGGATATACATAAGTTTATATTTTATAAGAGATGAAACTTCTTAAAATTCCATGGATTCATGGAATTCCTATGTGGGTGCCAGGTCTATTGAATTGCAGGGAGAGGAGCTTTAACAGGACTTGTGACCCAGGTGTAGGTTTAAGGGGCCCCTATCTATTGCATTAAACACTCACCTCAACTGCGCAAGCTCCTCTCTCTACCTAATACAATTTGAAAAGAATCTACTTGGGCTGCCTGCAAATTATATTTGAAATATTTTTCAGTATCATTCATAATCTTTTATTATACAGAAAAAATCTATAGATTACTTTCATATATTATATATAAATGTATGGGTGCATAGTTGTATGTTTATAAATTATATGTATACTAGAAGACCCAACAAACTTCATATCGCCCTATAATCAAGAAATATCTGTTACGTTTTTTTATTTATATTTTTGGAGTTTACTTATTAAAGCCAAAAATCTCCGTCTTTTGAAGTGCGACAGAATAATTGACATATTAGTTAGTTGTGTAATCTAATGTCAAAAAAAAACATTTGTATCAACAACTACTAATAAATTAAAAATTAATCAAAGAAACATTGTCCAGCGGACAAAATTGTGAATCTAAACTATTTCCAGATCCCCTTGAACACACAAAAAATTTCATCAAAATAGGTCCAGTCGTTTGAGAGAAGTTCAGTGACATACACACTCACAGAAAAATTATATACATATACAGGGTGACTGGTGAATTACTATCAATATTTAAGAAGCATACTCGGTACATGATTCTCAATCGAATTATGTAAAAAAAATAGGCACTTAATTTTTGACAAAATTTCCGTATAAATAAGTAAAGTGTTGACACGTTCCAAGTGTTCAAGTGTGGACGCGTGCGGCGACGTGTTGATACAACACCACGTCGAGACATGCGTATGTGTGAGTGTCAGTGTATACCTAATCTGTAGGGTGTTCATACGATGCGTAATTAATTACAAAACTTTTGGTTAACTTTACTTAGAAGTTTATTAATATTTATGTTATATTAATTTTTATTTTGTCATATATGATCGTCAAATATCACGTCCTCAAATATCGATAGTCAGTGGCGGCTGTACCTTAAGTGCGCCCGTGCGCTGAACCACCAATTCAAAATATTTAAAAATTTCAAAATATTATGTCATCTTAATTTTTAAATTACCATTTTAATATTTATTTTTTAAACATACAAAAAGGTATAAAAAATTTAATTTCCAATTATGGTCTAAAAGTTTGAGCGCTTTACTAAACTCATATCGTGCGCTCCGGCGAGTGCACGAGGACTGCTAATACATCTTGTATGAGACACGCATCAATACGCCTGGCGCGTGAGACAAAAGATACTTCATAGAAATGTACCGAGTAACGAGTCGGTTCTCGCGCGCCGCACGAAGCGGCCGAAGGTTACCGAGAGCACCCGATGTATGACGTATTGAGCCGGCCGGCAAGGGGCCGGCCGAAAGGATGGGTGCTATGATTGACATCTCGTTAATCGTTATTGGTATTGTTTCAACTTTCAATGTATGCGTGACGCGTTAATTCGTTATTGTTTATAATTATTTCCGTAATTCGTTTTAGTTTTTATTTCGTTTCTATAATAGAACTTTTATTCTGTACTGTGTTTTTTATTAGTTGAAAATTAGTATAAATATTGATTATATTAAAGAAAATAACAAAATTTTTCAAAGTAAAGTGAACATAAAATTGGCCGGGCCGCCACGGCCCTTTTTAAATTTAAAACAAGAGTGTAAATCGAAAAATAAAGCATTTATACGAAGTTTTAAAAGTGAAATGTATAATAGAAAGAAATGGTTGTGTGGATGTGAGCGTCTTAATGCATTCTTTTGTTTTTCTTGCATTATTTTTGGCGGAGAATCGATTTGGACAGAAACTGGAATCAGATTTTAATAAAAAGGTGATAGAACATTTCGCTACAGAAAAATGTCGTCGCATTGATTTAATGTACAAAAAATAAACATATTTTATGTCAATTGTTGTTTTTGTCAATATTTTAGTAAAGTGAACCACCAGTTCGATAACCCACCAGCCGCCACTGTCGATAGTAATTCACCAGTCACCCTGTATATAAAGATAAATGTATAAAAAAACAAATGAAAAATGTAATGATTGAATTTTATTGAGTCCTAAATTGAAAATAATTATTATAATAATCTACTATCTTTCGAATCTAAATGCTTTCAGATAATGAATTGAACAAATGTATCAAGGAATCAAGAAAATATTACACCACATTAAACACATACTGTATATCAACGGAACAATTACAAGACATCATTAAATCCTGGGGCGGTGAAATAAAACCACAAGTACAGATAAATGAGTTTATGTCAAGTAAAAAGAGTTATGAAGTAAGTAAATAAATATATTTATATGATTTTTAAACACAGTAAAGCTAGCTAGTAAAGCACTTTAATTAGGATTGTAATAGTATATATTTTTTTTTTACTTATACTTGTGTGAATACAATTTACATATTCATTTAAAACTTAAAACTATTATACATATATGAAGTTTTCTCAATATTATGCTACTATGTATTTAGAAAAAACTCAATTCAATTTTAATTTTATAGTATTACTAGCTTTCCGCTCGCAGCTTCACCCGCGTAGAGTTCGGTTATATCGCATTTCCAGGAGAACCTTTCAAAAGTCTGGGATAAAAACTATCCTATGTTCTTTCTCAAGGTCAACTCCATCTCTGTATCAAATTTCATTAAAATCAGTTCAGTGGTTTAAGCGTGAAAGCGTAACAGACACACAACCTGAGTTACTTTCGCATTTATAATATTAGTAGGGAATATTTTTTAAAATCTTATGAAATATTTATGTGACAGGTAAGTTATATTTCCTTCAGGTAAAAACTATGTCCCACTTGATAGCATCACTGTGTACCGTTTGTGATGTGACCCACTGTGTTGAGGCTGGTGGCGGTAAAGGTAACTTACCTGTGGCACTCTCGCTAAGTTACCACTTACCCAGCCTTACCATTGATTGTAACCCAATCGCTGTGAACAATGGTGAGAAACGGGTTAAGATTATACAGGTTAGTAAAAAGGCAATTTAAAAGGTAATAGCATAACATAGAAATAAAGTATGAAATATAATTTGTGTTTGTTATTAAAAAATGTAGAATTTTTTTTCGTTCAATTAATTTTCCTACATGTATTTCTTATAAAGATAGTTTCTAATTATTCTAAGTATTTGTATATAAGTTACTATCCTCCGCGAAATTTGTTATAAATATATGTATTTTGAAATCTCTTTGGAAGAGTTTCATGTCGAATTTCTTTTGTTTTTTTTTAGAAACAATGGCACGCCATATCAAAGAAAGTGAAAGATGACTCAAAATATCTTGCATCAGACAATATAGAATCGAATCTTCATAGATTCGCCGCAGCATATATTACTAAAGACACAGATTTTTCACAACTCGTCAGAGAGAAGTTTCCAGAACATTCTGGAGATGTCAAATTACTTTTGACAGGTAAGTTTCATTTGGGTAAATAATCGTGATACTTCTTTTCCCTGCCTTGGTTCAAGTTAATATGTGGTCACAACTTTTTCTTTTCATCCAATTTATATATTTATTTTTATTTCGTCATATCAACGGTCACTCTTTTACTCATGTTATCCATACAATTCATCTTTTCTTAGGTCTACCTCAATCCACATTCATATCTAATATTCTTCTTATTACATGGCATTCATTCCTTCACATATACTCATACCATACTAACTTATTACCTCTCAATTTACCAGTCACCGTCGTTACTTTCAAACTACTAAATAATTGTTCGCGATTAATTATCATTATTTATTATTTAGTATTCCATATAAAATTACTTTTTTTCCTTACAGGTCTTCATACATGTGGTAATCTTGGTCCGGATTCTCTATCTATTTTCGCCACTAAGCCATATATATCTTGTATTTTCAACGTGCCCTGTTGTTACCACCTCCTTACTGAAGAAGTGGACGTGGAATTATTTGACGTGTTCCAAAAATACGGCGAGGGTTGTGGTTCAAGGAATGGATTTCCAATGTCTGAAGGCTTGAAAGGTAAGTTTTATATGAAAAAAATAGTTTGGTCGAGTTAAAAGTTCTATTTCCTTTAAAAAAATCAAAACTAATTATGCGTGGCGTCCCTCCGCGAGAAGAATTGAAACTAAGTAATATTCGAATCAAACCAGGAAGCCGTAGAAATTGATTTTTAAGGAATTTCTAGCGTTTCTTTAAGACAAACTTTATTAAAATTACCTACAAGTCACAATTGATTGACGCATGCGTTGGATCGCCACGTATTCACCCTCACTCTGTCGCTTTTTATCCCAAAGGAGCGTTAAACGTTTAATGCAACCTTGTTGGAAGTTGCTTAGGAAGTTTCACTTCAACAATATAACAAATATAATATATTAGTGTACAACGAGATATGAATTATGTATATTCTCAATTTTTCAGGTTATAACTTAGGAAGAAATGCCCGTATGTTAGCTGCGCAATCAATACACAGAGTTGTTTACAATAAACAAATTCCGGACAAGGGGCTCTTGTACAGAGCTTTAATACAGGTAAAACTTATAAAGGTAACGATTATATTTTAGGTATATTTGCTAAATTAAGTTAATAATTATTCTAGTGAAACTTTAATCACACTTTCATGGTTTTGTTTCATCTATCACATGTTGCATTACAGCTAACCGCGAATTGAACTTAAATTTATATTCAAACTAGAAGACCCGGCGAACTTCGTGTCGCCCTATAATCAAGAAATATCTATTACGTTTTTTTAATAAATAAATTTAGGTTATATCTTAGAGCCTTAGAAACACGTAGTGGTTATGCTATTATTAAATAGTCGCTCATATATGACGTTTGTATTTTTAACATAGCGCCATCTATTGAATACTTAACTCAGTCAATAGATAATTGTAATAATGACAAATAATTTTCTTTAATAGACAAATAATTTGCAATAAAATAATATTGTGACTATAAATTGAGATGTAAGCTATCCTATCTTTCGAGTTGGATCATAATGCACACGGATTGCAAACCAAATTTAAAATCGGTTCAGTAGTTTAGGAGTCCATCGCGGACAAACACGTGACATGAAATTTTTATATATATAAAGATTTATTTATGTGAGCCCTTAAAATAAAACGTATTTAGAATTGTAATACACTTTTGACCGCCAGTTTTGTAGTATTTATTATTAATAATTTAATTAAAGTTTGCATTTATTGTTAGATATTTCGACTAAGATCTACTAATTGTTAAGAAAACGTATTTTTTTCCCTAAATCAAATATTTTTCCCTAAAATTATCTATAAGCCGAACCAAATTTTTTTACATAAACTAACAGTTAACACATTATGTATTTTTAAAATAGGTATTACTATATAAACCCATATTAAATATTAATTTAATAACCGTAAATTTTTTTCAGGTTATTATAAAACAACGTTTTCCCGACTTACCTGTGTCAGAAGGTAAGCTGAAAGGTATATCTTCTAAATGTCAAAACTTCGACGACTACGTCAAGATGGCGGACGCGATACTCAAAATCGGCGTGGACCAAAACTCTGAGACTTACTATGAAATACAAAAAGACATAGATATTAAATGGAAGAAAATAGTTATGTTTTATTTATTAAGGCTATGTCTGGCGCAGGTTATAGAGAATGTGATTTTATTGGACAGATTGTTGTTTTTATTGGAAAATGGTTTCCAAAAATGTTATCTCGTCAAATTGTTCGATCCTGTAACTTCGCCGAGGTGTCACGGTTTAATAGCTATTAGGTAGCAATATACTTTAATTAAGACTTAATAAAGTTTTATATACACGTGTTTTTTATTTGCCGAAATTCTTGCTTATTTTTTATTTTTGCTACCTACTATCAAAATAGAATATTGATTTAACAAATAAAACCATATATTTAAAAGTTAACAAAGGTAATATTCAAAACATTTTACTTTGATTCTACTATAATAAATTAAGGGTAAGTTATTTTGCGACGTTTAATTAAAAACATTTTCCCCGTATTATCTAATGACAATTAGATTTTTCCGTGAATAATATTGTCATCCCTCGACCGGCTCGTGAATACTTATAAACAAAACAAGTTTGGACTCACCTCGACATTGATTTATATTCTAGGAATATATGACCAACAAAAATATCAAAGCTTAATTAAAACCTTTGTTATATGTATGCTACATCATTAAAAATGTTATATGCCAAAATTAATGACTCATTATGAGTAATTAAATTTAAAAATATGTACGTTGACATTTTTATAAATGAAAAAATGTTAGTAAAAACTTTTTCTGCTTAGTATATACTTAATAAGTAACATAAAAAAAGATATTAGCTATTTCTACAGTTACTACAAGTTTTATTAACACACTACATACGAATCGTTTCTCGTTCATAAATCTTATACAAAAACGAGAATTCGTATGTACTGTAACGATGTAGGTAAACTTGTGCTAAGCATACTTAACTTTCTTCTATCTGGCAATTTCCCAGCTATAGCCAAGGTCTGCCTTACAAGTTGTGAATAGTTTTGGTTACTTGTTTTTACTCGTTTGGCTCTTTGGGAATCAGCATTAATCAGTGATGTCTAAATACTCTTAGAAAGTACATATGACTCGGAAAAATCACATTGGTACTTGCCAGGGCCAGGATCGATCCCGCGCCCACGTGCAAGAGAGGCGGGTCCTCTAACCACTAGGCCACCACTGACTTTTTAAAGCATATTTAACATTATGGAGCTGTAATTTTTTCTGTTGATACATCGAATGTTAACACTTTCAGTACAATAAATAATTTATTTTTTAGTAAGATTTGCACATGCCTGTAATTTCACCTAATACAGCCAACAGCTATTTATAGCTGATATTTAAGAGCGTACTTCAGGGCTTATTAAGCTTATATCTTATAAAACTAGCGTAGGATGAGATAGCTAAAGAAGTCAATGTATTTGTCAAAAAGCGCCACGCAAATGATGATACGAGAATGCAGTTTTAACATGATGGAAAATTATTTAGTGTAAGTAATAAGTAGGAACATTAATTTTGTGATAAATTTGGAGTCACAAGTAACGTTCTTAAATCAGGAATAAATTAGCCGTTCTTATATTATATATAAATGCGAGTCTTAGAGGATAATGTATGGGTGTTTGGCGCTGCTTCTTACAAAAACGAGTTATAATTACATTAATGATTAACCACTTGTGGAGCTTAGACAAAAGCTTTAATTTATTCCGCGTAGTTCCGCAGTGATTGTATATGAAGTCACATGACACAGACAACAGATGTCGCTGTCAGTTGATTCCCATATCTATTATTTCAACCCCCTTAAGGCTTTATTATACCCCCTTTATACATTATTATTATTATACCCCCTTTATACATTTCTCTTTGATTCCAATTCCAAAAATAGTGATGTAGTCGTAAGCAAAATCATGCATGTATTAAACAAAATTATACTATTGCAGCAATCATAACTGTTTTGAAAGAGATCAGATCAGTATATCCATTTTCGTCTCAAAATCTGGAAAATTGTTATTAGGTAAAGGACGGAACTTAAATGTAGGTAATTACTCAATATGCAAAAATGTATTTAACAAGAAAGCAACAACTATTGTATAAATAACTCATGTTCTAGTTAAGATACATACATTCTTTTAAAGCCTACATGTTTCCCATTTTCCAAAATTAGGTAGAAGAAATATCTTTAACTTATTTATAAAAAATCAGAAATATTAATATAACTCAATGAGAAGTAAACAAGCTTGCTTATTACTACTTTTTTACATTTTAAACGTTTTGGACAAATTAACTACAAATATTATTAGTTCGACTAGTGCTTTTTAACAACTTTAATAGGTACTAGCGTATGCTGTGATTATGTATGAAATAATCGCAACTCTACGTATAGGTACACTGTACAGTTCAATGTTGCAAACCCGTGGTAATGGAGCAACGAGTATACATATATATACGTAATATCTTAAGTTTCGCCTTAAATAATTTCTGATATATATAGCAATCCAAAAGACAAATATTTAATCCAAAGACAATAAAACAAGCATACATAGTCAGAAAATAATCTTGAAAGTAAACCGTGTTATTCCCAGGACATAACGTGCATCTAGAAATGAGAAATAGTTTATCCCGTTAAGGCTATCGCATTACAATGGAAGCGACTCACAGCGCGACGTAATTATTTTACTGAGACTCGAAACGGTTGACTTTTATTTAAATGAGAACTTACTATTATTTAATATGGGTTTAGATAAAATAAAGCTGTATTACGTCTAGATTTCAATGGTTTTTATTCTTAGAAAATATAATTTCATTAAGTACTTTTTTCCTTGAGTGTGATGGTAGGAATATATTTTTTTAATACTATAGTTCTTACCAAAAACTCTTCATTTCTGTCGGACTATGTCTCTCTAGATCACAATATTAAGGGCAAGTTTAGATGGTTACACTACAAAAGGAGCGTTTAGAGTTTTTCATTTATAAAACTTCGCAGACTTTTGTCTTTTGATAATATAACGGGGAACATTTTATATGTAGTAGGTATGCAGACGATGCAAACTCGTGCTTAGCCTACATGAAGTTATAACATTTTTGCAACTCATAAACTATAATATTTGAAATTATAATACATGCTGATTGGAGAAAAAGAAGATTTATTCTTATTCATAGCTAATGGAAAACTATATTTTAAAATGTTTTCCTGCACCTTAAGTTTGAGTTCGTTGTTGCATGGTCAACGTATTTTATTCAAAGCTTAAAGAATATTAACACATTCTCTTTATTAGTAAAATCAATGACCTTCAATGTCAAATATTGATGTTAATCTGTATATTTCGTGGAGGCATAAGTTTTAGCACAAACTTTAGTTACATATATGAATCATATAAATTCCATCAAACGGACAGTTGAACTTGAATGACACTATAAAATTTTGTTTAACTTGACATTTCTCTCCTAAATTCCTTCGAAACCTACAAAACATTTACGAAATTATGCACTACCTACGTGAAGATTAAATAGAAATGACGAAGTCTTTAATACTATAATTCTTATTATTCAATAGTAAGTAATGTGAACTTTAACTCCAAATTCTTTAAAGGCTTTACAGAAATATATACATAATTATTTACAGATGAATCTGAATATAATACGTTTATTTAAGATTTATTTGAGATCAGCAAGTAATTAATTAGCTAATATTTATCGATATGGGTTGAATAAACGCATGTCATGATGACGAAGATTCGTGGGCGATCTAAGAGCGTAGGCCCTTTGAGATCTTGAGGCTGCGTATAAGTATTATGTTGACGTAAAATTATAACGCAAACTCACTTATAATAATGTAACCTTTGATTATAACAAGATAGTGTTACGGAGACATTTTAATATAATATAAAAACTAGTAGCGGAAAAAACAGCTAATTTTCTTGTATTTCATTCATAAATCTTTGCACATAACGATATTTTCGTAAGTATATGAACAAAATTTTAAAACTATCTGTGTTTAATTAAGAGATATAATTTCTGATTAGGCCTATTAAGAGTAAAATTTTATATTACTAAGAAAATAAATGCTACAGAGTTATATTTGATAAAGGGTATTGAAAGGTACATTTGAAATAGCTACAAGCTATCAGCTAGTAGCTACGTAAGCTTTTATATGAAAAGAGGAATATAAATGTTTACTATTAACTCGCATCACAATGCACTGATGACACGTTTACTTATACATTCAAAGTATTTTTCACATTACACTTCTGTACTATTCGACTTGAGTGAACTTAAACGAGAAACGTAGATTTGATTTCTGTGATAAGCTTTTTGTTGAATGCATTTTTGTATTCCTCTACATGTGTGTAAATATTTGCTATATACTTAAGGAAACCTCTTTTTCTGCTTTTAAACTAAATTACATAGTGTCTTCAAGGCAGACTTATAACATATCTTTTTGGTAATTACTACTAAAGCCGATGCTACACTTAAGTACTTTCTTAATTTTATATGACTTGGTATAGCCACATTAAAATACAAAAATAAATAGAGATAATATTTTTTATATTCAACCAATTATTTTTATACATTAGTACGTCTCAATAAAAATATTGCAATATGCTCTGCAGTTTCAAAATATCATTTAAATTGAAAAAAAGGCACTACATTTCAATACCTCAATTCCTTAATAGAATCTCGAAAACAATTAGTTTACAATTAAACCATACATTTTACATAAACGATTTCCAGACAGAATGTTAGAGTATAATGAAAAATTCTTTTAAACCGCATCGCAAATACTAATATTTCATTTGATTTTGAAATATGCTTATTATTTGCCATAAATAAAAATGATACGTTACGGTGGGCGAGGAAACGTAAATTAATACGTTCTACAAAGATATAGGGTCCCGTATTACGGGGAACTTGAATCAAACCTTTTTATTATAATACATCCTCATTTGTTGTCATTCTTTTTTATTTAAGAGTAGTGCTTGACAGTCATTCCACTCTATCCGATTGGTGGGAATTAAGTAATAAATTGTAAACGCAATGCCTTATTAACAGCCCATTTTCCTCTTTGTAAAAGACGTCCAAATTATAATTCGAATCAACTACAGACGACGGCAAAGTATTCCAATCCTTTGCTGTGCCTAGTTTATACTACTTGGGAGATTATGTCTTTATTCGGTTCCGAGATTGGTTTACAAAGAAAGTATGAAACTCCACCGAGCGTCATATTCTTCGAAAATAGTAAAAGGATACAGATATTAAAGCATGTAATACCGGCTCGCGATCTTCAGAGCGTATTCTGTAGAGTACTGGCTGGCTGGCTACTTTTCGCCTGTGTTCTAAGCTGACGAGATAGTATTTAAGCAAATTGTAGTCACAAATAAGTTTCTTTGCACGTCTTTCTATAGAATCCAAGACAGTTAAGTGACGTTTGGCAGCATCTGTAAAAACTTCTTTTTCTTCAAGCTGCCTTAGTTTTGGAATCAATAATTAATTCAGATTTAAATTTTGACGATATTTCAGTATAATACTCGCTATATAAGTTTTCCAAGGACATCTGAAAACGCACACTTGGAATTTGGTGGGACATAGTTTACAAAATTAGCATTTCGCCATTGGGAGATAGTCTGAAGTGTAAATTTGCACTCTTCTACCATGGTCTCTCTAACACTGTTTATTTTTGGTTGATCTAAGCTGGATTCTACTTCACATCTGTACGGTCATTGCATTACCAAAAACTCCAACAAATAGCATATGCGACTTAAACAAAGTTGTGGAGAACATAGAACCTTGAAGAACTCCAGCTTTGACCGGTATTGGCTCAGCCAAGCATCAATTAATAATTACTCCTAGTTCACGGACGTCTAGAAAGTCAGAAAATCAAGATTCAATAAGAAAACTGTAAGTCATTACGTCATATGTCCAAAATTTAATCATATCTATCCTAAAAAATGGATGTCGTGAATTATTTTATGAATATTTCAAGAAATTAGGAAGAAAACCTTTTTGGAATATTTTTTTATTATTAAATTATTGTTTTATATAAAATTCCTTCTGTTATTAGTGTAACAAATAATATTATATTTTCAATGATACGGAACCACATAAGTTATGAAAGTAACCTGCCCCAACAATATTAAATGTAAAATCATTTAATTTAATAGTAAAAGATAATATTGTATAAGCGAATAAAGAGACAAATTATGATTAAATGTGTAATAATGAAAATACATAATTCGTTTTATTCTGTTATTCCAAAATTTCAATTGCCAGCTGGGAAGTTATTTAGAAGAAGAACTCTGCTTACACGACTTAGTTAACTAAACATTTAGTCCCTATTTTATTATATACAAAAGGTCCAATTTCTAAACAAAAAAAAAACACTTTTGTGACGGATTATTTTAGTGACAACGTTTACTTTTTTCTCAATCTGAGCCAAATGTTAAAAATAATAAATACTTTTGAATCTCATCATGCTACGACAAAATCATCTTTGTCTTAAAACTACATAATACTAAGCCTATCTAGATAATATTTGTACTTTTCTTTTTTGTACTAGTAATAGTGATTTATGTATGACTGGCTTTAAGAAAATTGGAGTTTATTTTTTTATGATAAAGAATACAAAGATGTTAAAATCTAATTTAAACATTTAATATAAAAGAAGTCTAGTCATTTTGTCATCATCATTAAAATCACATTGAGATATCACTCAATTTCTTTATAGATTACTTAGGAATTAAAACGATAAAAAAATTATTGTCTCGAGTAAAGATTAGGCTTTTAAGAGTGGTATAAATGTTGTTTCATTAATGTTTTTGTATGAAATCATTAGCTTATTTCATTTGAAATGGATTTAAAATTGTGTCCCTAAGAATGTATTACAATTTTGAACACAGGGAGCAATAAACTAACTATCTAAAGAGGCGAAAAATAAACAAGCGGGTAACAAGGTCAGTTGATAACGTATTTCCTATAGTATGATGAATGTACACACGCAAATTATTATTAATTTTCTCAATGAATAAAATTATAATTTGACAGTTGATACTATATAAAAGATTAAATTTCTAAACGTATGCTATAAATAATTTTGTGGATTAAATGAATGAAGTCAGCGAATACCAAAAATTACTTAAAAGTTGATAACGAACGCCGTCGGCTTAAACATTATTAATTATTTAACTTTTCTATGTCACTGAAAATTATGAAAGGATCACCATTCTTACTTTACAGCACCGAAAAGACGGCTTAAAGAACTGTTACTGAACGTTAACATAGCATAGTCTTTTTTTTATGGAGCATAACAATTAAATTCATTTTTTAGTTGACTTTTGAAAAAGCAAGAAGGAAATTAAACAAATAATAGTGGTCTTGTAATGTGGTTGAAAGAAAAAGATGTTAAATATTTTGTGTTAGAAAAAACAATAAATTATTTATATTTAAATAAAATAATTAAAGTTAATTTAAAAATTAATTTTGTAACAGAACTCCTTGCACAAAGCCAAACAGCCAATGTGAAAGCTCCTCGGAGGCGTAAGGGCGGGTATAAGGCGGGAAAGTCCACAGCGCGCGGCACTCTACAGCTGACGCGCCGCGCCGCCATGACGTTCGCTGCACTACTCGCGCTCGCTCTTGCCGGTTAGTTAAAAACTTTTTGGTATTACGTCTGTGAGTGCATGTTTTTTTTTGTTAGAAGTTTTGTAAGTTGCCAGTATCTTGATCATAAAAAATATTTGACCTCATTTTGAAAGCTAGGTATAATTTCAAAATAATATTTTGAAGGATAAGAATATATTTATAAATAATTAATTATAAGTGAAATTAAATACAGAATATTATTGAAACTTTCTTTAATATTAAAAAACTTATAATCTTTCTCAGTAGTGATATGAAGATTTCTTCGAAATAAGTAATATGTGCTCTCAACAATGTCTTTGAATTTTCAGTTATCCAAGGAATTTTCAATTGTACTCATTTTCTCTGAATTTACGGCAACAAATATAATATAAAATTTTATTATTATTTAGAAGGAAAAGATAAGTTTGTATTATTTAAAATTACGTCATAATTTTAAATAACGTTTGTTGAAACTATATTTCACACCCATTACATAATTTTTTTATAAAATGAGGAGAACTCTTTTTAAATGCAGTTAAGATTTTTTTTTTGACGTGTGACATGTCAAATTACGTGAATCTATTTACACTACTTCTCGTATAGTAAAAATATCCAATTTGTTTGTGCAAATATTCAAGTTATTTTTTTTTTACTATAATAATTATATTTTTTACTAAGACACAGGGAATCCCTAAAACTTTTATTAAAATAGCGGTAATGAGGAAAGACTCGTATGTTTTAAGTTAAGTTATTTTTCATAATATCTAACAGAAAATATCGTAGACGATATTTGTAGAATTTAATTTGTCAGTTTGTTAACTTTTTCTGTTACCTTCTGAACTGTCTCGTACTAGTTAAACTTTAAAGGCAAGGCTAAATTAACAAGTGTTTTATCAAATATTTTATTCATGTTAATTTATATGCACTTTTGTTAGGGAAAAAAATACTAGTAATATTTTTAACATTAAAAAACTCATGCCACCAGAACAAAAGCCTACGAAACAAAGCAAATCAGAAGTAAGTACTATCGGTAACAATTATTACAATATAAGTTTATAAAATTAAATATATAATAATATCAATAAATTTATAGTATTCATAAAATAAATAATTATTAATGAAAATGTAGTCTGTGTAATCCAATTAGCATAATAATTAGAATACTATATAAAATCTAAAAAAGTACAATTTCGCATATTGTAATTATTTATTGGTAACGGTACCTCTATTATTATCGGATTGAATAAATTAAAAATTGCCATAAAAAATTTCTATCAAGTTTCAAATTGCATATACCTAATTACTTAAAAATTGTGTATTATTACTTATAAATATTTCAGATATAACTAATTATTCTTATAACTGAAAGGAATTCCAAATTTTTATTTTAAATAGAATAATCATTAATGTAAATTTAAATAATAAATGATTTTGTTATATAATATGCAACGACAATATCGTTTATTATTATATTCTTAAATTTTCATCTAGTTTGAAATATATAAAGATATTTTAAGACAAGCTTAAATTAATAAATCCTTATAAGAATAAAGTTAGTAAAAATCTAATTTAAAATATTGTCAATTAGAAGTTTGATTGATATTAATAGTTAAAATTTTAAGGGTTTTTTAAGATGACGTCATCAAAACGAATTTTTGTCGATTTCGCAAAAATACACATTTAGTCATCCAGTCGTAGATACGAGGAAAAAATTGAAATATAATTTTTCAATTGAATTTAATTATCAAGTTTGTATAAAGGAAGTGTTATTATTAGGATCCTTTGTTGAAGAGTAAAAAAAAATACGAAGTTCAATTAATCTCATTTTAATTAATATTTTGAACCCTGTCTTTGATTTCGATTAAGGTATAAAAGTTCATAAGCTTGTCTCTATTACGTATAAAAAAAATAATATTCTATTATACATTTTATATATGTATATTTAGTTTTCTGGTCTAATTATAATACTTATAATATGTATAAGGAAATAATAATATGATTTTTGATATATAGGAATCAATATTGACGTATATTTGTATTCTGTGGTAATATTATATTTTTTTTATCAAGATAAAATATAACTAATATATTAAAAATAAATGCACTAAAATAGAATTGTTTGTTTTGGAATAACAATTATAATATACGAAAATTAATTAAAACCAAGAGTTTTTCATATAAAATTAATTTAATGTTTTTGTGACGTATCTAAAACAAGAGGGTTGTAAAGGAGATTAAATATTAGTCTGCATTATACATCTTTAAACTCAAAACTGGCAGTATCATCGTAAGTATGAATGAATAACTCCAAACTACCAGTGCTTAGTCTTCTAACACGTACTAAAAGCTGTTGCATAAATCCTATCGTGAACACGTCACGTTTAATGTTCTAATATGTCAATCCGACGTCTTCTGATTAAAATTATAACAAAGCCTTTGTTAGGTGACGTTTTAAGAAAATCTATTAATCGACTTTGATGTTAAAGAAAATTGTTATAATTCTAATAAACTATGCTTCATAACAAAGTGTCATATATAATGTTTAAATTTCAAGAACAGTATTGGTATATTTTTAATAGCATTTCTTTATGCAATCTCGTTTTCAGATTTTAAATATCTTAGCAGTATCCTTAGAACAAGTTTACGATTTACATCGTCATACTATATACGAATCGTTTTCCGTTTTTCACTGAATAACCTACGTTTATATCATATAGGAATATACATTAAAAGTACAACTGGGCAGAATAGTTAGATAACCTTATTGTACTTTAAATCTACATAAAGAAAATTTTTAACGATACAAAACTTCTACCAATTTTAATAAATTGTTCATGACCATTTATATATATACAGGGTGACTGGTGAATTACTATCAATATTTAAGGAGCATACTCGGTACATGATTGTCATTCGAATTATGTAAAAAAAATAGGTACTTAATTTTTGACAAAATTTCCGTATAAATAAATAAAGTGTGTACACGTTCCAAGTGTTCCAAGTGTGGACGCGTGCGGCGGCGTGCTGATACAAAACCACGCCCCCGCCGCGCGTGTGTGAGTGTGTGTGTATACCTAATCTGTAGGGTGTTCATACGATGCGTAATTAATTACATAACTTTTGGTTAACTTTACTCAGAAGTTTATTAATATTTATGTAATATTAATTTTTATTTTGTCATATATGATCGTCAAATATCACGTCCTCAAATATCGATAGTAATTCACCAGTCACCCTGTATATATATATATATATATATATATATATATATGTCTAATAAACATAAAAACAATTAATTTAATAATTACAGTTACAAATGAATAAGAAATACCATAATTAACTTTTATTTCCTTAATAGACATCAAACAAAAATACCGTGGTTCCAAAGCCAGGGTTGACCTAATTTCTAAACAATAAATTTACAAATTAATCCACATGTAATCCATTATATATATAATTGTAAACATTACTGAATTAATCTTACAACATCCCTTGCGTAAGAAGACTTACTACAAGTTAACGTAATTACGAAATACGTAGTTTTAATAGTTTTTAATACAAACGTTGTCGTACACAGTATTTAGGTGAGTTTATAAATGATAAATAAGAAGTCATTAGTCATAAGTCAGTGGTGGCCTATGGTTTAAAAAGCCCGTCTCTCATGCATCAGGGCGCGGGTTCGATCCTGGCAAGTACCAATGTGATTTTTCCGAGTCATGAGTACTTTCTAAGAGTATTTAGACATCACTGATTCCCAAAGAGGGTTGATGTCAGGCAGACGGCTGGTCCTAAAAGCAAATAGCCAAACTATTCACAGCATGTAAGACAGGCCCTGGCTAAAACTGGGAAATTGCCAGGTATTAGAAAAAGATAAATGATAAATAAGAAACCTCATATGTTGTTTGAACGCTCAAAATGTTAGAAAACGTAGATATTGTGAATATGGTTCCCGTTTCATCTTTACCCTTTTGGTTGAAACCTTTGATTCAAAAACATAATTTAATTATTATATTTTATTTCATACGTTTGTGTTTTGCATAAAAAGTATTGAATTACTTGTCGATTACAATATATATGTTTTAATAGAAATAAATTTCGAAGTAACAACTTTGTTAAATTCTTATGAAAAGTTATAAGATAGGAAAGATAGTATCAAATTCATTTGTAAATACAATTAAGCCTGTCTGTTTACCTTCTTGTAGAAAGAAATCAATAAACGACTTTAAGTGTATATAGCAAAGAAGAAATATTAAGTTACAGTCGCCTTTAAAGACGGGATTTTTGCTGATTTTTGCTGGATTGCAATAGATTATTTTGTTTCTATATTATAAAGCACGACATGGAAAACCAAATAAAAATAATATTATTTTAGTTCGTTGCTTACTAATATATGTATTTTCTTAAATAAAACTATTCTAAATTTCTTAAAAGCAAACTTAATAGACCTAAACTTAATTCCAATTGACAAATATACTTAGACATTTATAGGTGAAAGAAAACCCATTTAAAATATTAAGCTTTGTTTTAAAACCATTTGTGACTTTTCTAGCAATTTATTAATGTAACAATATCTTTAAAATATTATTTGCTTTTGAAAAATAACAAATCTTTGTTGATAAATGTATAATCTCAGTGTATTTTTTATCATGCGATTGCAACGTTGAAAATCCTCATTAAGTCTCACGACTAAGAAAACCCATTCATAAAGATTTCTCATTTATAGTTTGTATTAAGGTCCAATTATTGTGAATCTTTTAATGTATTATTACTATATTTTTGTATAAATAAAGTAGAATAAGTTTTCATCTTAATTGGAACTTTGGACATAGAAAACTGTAGTTATAAGAAATTTAATTTTTTTCTTTATTTTCTATGATGTGTGAAATTTTTTACGTAATATAAAGTTTAGGGATAAATATTTAGAAATTTTATTACTGTTGATATATTTAGATAAATCTCTATAACTATAGTCATTAAAGTATCTAAAATTACCTGCTAGATTGCAAATTTCTATTTCTGCTTATTCGAGTCAGAATTATCTTATCTCTCATTTCTTATTACGACCAAAGCACAAAAAATTAAGCAAGTAGCTTATCTCAACGACATGTATATTTCAAATTAATGTTGATCACTAATTCGCGGTACATTTTCATGAAGAAGACTTATAAATTAAGGTTACATATTCTATTAATATATAAAAGGTCATTTACTTACACTAACAACGCGCCACTCGTACAACGAAAGTAATTTTTCCAAGAAAATTGACAATTACTTTCAATTTAAATTTCTGGTTTCTACGTTTGCTCTCAACTTGAGGTTGCCGAATGAGGAATTAAGAATTACTGCTAATAAGATATAGGTGGCTAAGTCGAGGTGAAGTTACAAAAAGAAAATTAAATGTACTGAGAAATTAAGTCAAGTTTTACGTACCTACAGAATTCATAAATACAATTATCAAAAATATTGACATAATATTAAACCATTTAATATCTTCTGTTTATGTAACCTATGAATAATCGACAATTGAACGATATTACTGGTAGACGTAAGCACTTAATTGAGTAATCATAGGTGAAAATTGCCTTACATCATCTTAGAAAAGAGTTAATACTCTTACACTGCTGGACTTATATTAAACATACACACACACACACACACACACACACACACACACACACACACACACACACACACACACACACACACACACACACACACACACACACACACACACACACACACACACACACACACACACACACACACACACACACACATACACACACACATACACACACACACAAACAAACACAGCGACGTCAAACTTATAAAATACCTCTTTGTATCAGGAGATAAAATAATATATGAATATTAAAATTAATCTTTGATATAACGTAGTTCGCTTCATTAAACTGTTTTGAGTTACAAAACATATTTTTAAATAATCAAATATAACAAATTCAGTAATAAATTTTAAAACACTAACCAGAAAATTGTTCACAACAATTTACAATCAGGAATCACTTCTATTGTTTCATTTGTGTTCGTTTTTTTATATTTCAATAACTGATTCAATTTCAATATTTTTTGTAATCTAAAACTATTACTACGCTTCATTAACAGAGACTTTTATTTTGTAACTTAAATTTTTAAATCTTTAATTTTTGTATTGAAATTATATGACATTTATTAGACGGTTTTTTGTTTGAGAAATATCCTATTTTTTATTTCACTTATTTAACCCTTATTATTTCTATAGAAATGGTTAAGTACCTATTTATTTTCAAAACCTCAATGTACCAGATCAGGTTCGTGTTTTCTCCACTAATGCGAATTCACGCATGTGATTTCTGTTCACATTTACATTTTTCTATAATAATCAATATTTATATGTAATTTGCAAAAATAGTTATAAAATTTTAAGTAATTCTAATTGTTTAATTAATCATTGTTTTGATATTTATTTCATCTAGTTGTGACGAAATCTTGATAAGTTATAACACAAATTTCAAACATAATTTGTTTTGACACTAATCGATTTTATCGAACGAAGTTAATAGCTAGAAATTTTACACAGAATTTAATTCATTATTATTAAATTATTTCCCAATCTGTTTAAGTTGTTTACGACTAAAGATCTTTGATCATAGTACGGTCTCAGACTAATTAACTCACTTTGAAATGATGCACAATTTAAGCTACCGATCTTATCTTAGAACATTTAAAAGCTAAGAAAACGAAGTCTTTGCTGTATGAGAACAAGATTACAGAAAATGTGAATCATTTAAAAGCCCTGCAAAAATACTCATGAATATTTGACCTATGAATTAAAATTTACTTACACAGTCCTAAGGAAGGCTACTGTCGTCAAATAACACACACACAATTTGAAAAACCCATTTACCTTTTTTCAAAACGAATAAGCTTAGACCCATTTGTTGAAAATAAATTGTTTGACAAATACTCGTAAAACGAATTGGTATGTTTGTCAAGTATATTTTTAGATTTTGCACGGCTTTTTGGATATATTGAAAATATATTATTAGGTCTGGTTTTTTTTACGTATATTGCAAAATAAATAAATAAATAATTTTTATCAGAGCCTAGGCGTTGAACTCTAAATTATTCGTTTTAAAAAATTCTAAATAATAATTGGAATAATAAATTCGTAAATAATTGTAATAATACACCAAACACAGTAATATCGCAAAACTATTTCATGAATGATTGTGAGTATCAATGTCTCACAGTCTTAACTACATAGTCCGTTGATAATTAAACTGGTAACAGTTTTTTACTCACAAATCTTAAATTCTTTTATATAATATATAGATAGAGTATAAAGTAGTAGTACAAACCTGGACTAAAAAACTAGAGAAGTTAATTGACACAACTATATTGACTTGTTATTCAGTCGAGTTAATTTTACTTTTCGCGACTTTGCAGGCGACTGATAGACAAAAAGATTATAAGCGATGCAATGAAAATTGTTCTTTAATATGTATATATTATGATTTATAATATAATTTTAGTAAATCGTTAAACATGTCGTGTACCTAAGTAAAGGCTTATATCGTCTAACTATTATACTTAAGACAATTAATCCTAAGATTAATGTATTTGTACCGAGCTTTAAACGTCGATTTTAATTCGTTGTTTTATAATATGCTAAATATCAGGATTAAAGATATTAAAATCATCATCTGACAATTACATTAAATTAAGTCTCGTTCTATTCAATGAAAGGTTTTATCTAAACGTTTTCAAAAGTTTAACTTCAATTTACGACGTTGATTTTTTTAAGGTTTAATGAGTTCGAATATTAATTAAAGTCATCAGCCTATCAGAGCCCACTGTTGAGCAAAGGCCTCTTTCTCACAATATGGAGAAGGTTTGAGCATTAATCACCACGCTCGCTCAAGACGGGTTGGTGATTTCAAACTTATAATTGTGAAACTATAAGTCCAGGTTTCCTCACGATGTTTTCCTTCACTCTAATAATAGTATTAATTATAATTTTCTAATTCAATTGACTAGATACTTACGAAATTGGAAAGTCGTTGGCTGATAGAGATAAGAAAAACTCAGTTATGCTTATTTAAAAATGTACATAAATGAAAGAAATTTAATAAGTTAAAATTAAAATCTAGACTGAAACAATATGTAGTTTGGAACATCGACTAGGCTTAAGATTGAAAATTTTTCATTTTCATGAATAGGACAGTCGGCTTTGTTGTAATAAAATGTTTTGTTGTACCGTAATAGTTATTTGGGCCATTAACTATTCAAAAATCATATCCAAGATTTTCGCGTGTATTTTTTTAAATGAAAACATTTTTATCGAATACTATAAGTTTTCTATTAAATTATTTTACTCTTAACTGTGATCATACTCAGGTTGCTGTACAGTAACCAAAAAGTCGAGAGTATGTAGTAATCAAATAATGAAAAAAAAATCATTAACACCATTTAATAAGTTGCTAGAAACAATGTTTAAACAAAGAAGATTTTATTCTTTTGATGTTAAAAATTTTCTATTAATATATTTCGAGTTATTTCGCAGGATGGTCATGAAAGCCTGTTTTAATTTTACATTATTTAAAATCTCCAACCCTTAGTTGATTAAGTTCCGTACTTTTATTACGCGTTCATTAAATTCCTAAATAATATATACAAGAATACAGGTTCATAAAATGTAACAAGTCTTATTTTACTATTTAATTTTTTAAGAATAATTTTAAACAAAGTTTTATGTTTCATTGTATAGTAAAATATAAATGTATAGGAAATGGTCTGCATATATATCCTTTTGTAAGGATAAAAATAAAAGCAATTGCTAAATGATTTTAAATAAAGTTAATATTAAATTTAAAATACGATCCCAAAATAAACGGAAGCCTTATTATGAACTCGTTTACTTCGCATTTATTCAATATGTAAATGTACCTATATATGAGTATATAAAGCTATTTAAAGTAATATAAGCTGTCTTTATATAATATATAAGCTGGTTAGATCTTATATATATATATATATATATATATATATATATATATGTCGGAGAAGGTGCCAAAACGTGGTTTTTAAAATGAGTGACGTCAGCATAACTGACGTCACCAGCGCGGTTTGTTCTCGAATGTCGTCAGCCCTTGAGGCTATCGAAGGTAACCTCACAGCCCTCACAGCCAGTTGGATGATGTCTCACTTCGAAGAGGTCCGATCCCCGCGACGGCTCCAGCACGACTATCTGTAATCAGTAACTCGCCTCTATTTATAATGACTAACAGCCATTGTTATGACTTCACTTGCACAGGTTGTCACGTGAGCGACACCTCACAATTTATCTACCCTCAATTATTGATTATTAAAATGGTAACTGCGCCGACACGGCCATTCTGACAGTTGGTGCGCGCTCTGCACCATCCTGCATTCTTGGTTAAGATTCCCTGGTCACCTGAGAATGAAATAAAAACAAAAACTGATCGTTATGAGCTAGCTCAAGGGTAGCACATGATTAGTTCAAAGATGTAACACTCTCCAGATCTACGGTGTATACATGTCTCCTCACGGTTCCACAAGGCGTCCCTTCGTTATCTCATGGTTCTCTTACGGATACATCAAGGACCTGTGGTTAGTTCAAGGATAGCACGTAATTAGCTCAGAGGTATCACTCTTTGGTGCATACATGTCTCCTCACGGCTTCACAAGGCATCCCTACAGAATCTCATGGTTCTCATATGGATACATCATGGACACGAGGTTAGCTTGAGGGTAAACACGTGATTAGCTCAGAGGTAACACTCCAGATCTGTGGTGTACACTTGACTTCTGATGGTTCCACAAAGGATTTTAATTTTTAGGATGTTGCTGTGGTCTGGGCGGTCTTGTACGCCGTGGTCCACAGAGGCTCTAAGGGATTGAGGTAGGTCGATGCTGTGGTCTAGGACTTTTTGTCCGTGGTCCACAGGGGCTCTGAAACATTGAAGAAAAATTCCATTATTATCAGATGGACGAGCAGAAGTGAACGATCCCACTTCTGATGTCGGAGAAGGTGCCAAAACGTGGTTTTTAAAATGAGTGACGTCAGCATAACTGACGTCACCAGCGCGGTTTGTTCTCGAATGTCGTCAGCCCTTGAGGCTATCGAAGGTAACCTCACAGCCCTCACAGCCAGTTGGATGATGTCTCACTTCGAAGAGGTCCGATCCCCGCGACGGCTCCAGCACGACTATCTGTAATCAGTAACTCGCCTCTATTTATAATGACTAACAGCCATTGTTATGACTTCACTTGCACAGGTTGTCACGTGAGCGACACCTCACAATTTATCTACCCTCAATTATTGATTATTAAAATGGTAACTGCGCCTGAGTGATCTTACAACTAAGGTATAAAGTCAGTCTTCAATTTAATCAAATATGTAACTAAACGAAAACACAAATACCTATAGAAATAAATAAAGTTGATATAATTTTTCATAGAATTATAATTTTAAAAACTTGATAATAATACAGTTTTTACATTGGAAACTTCTCTTCTTCGAATTTTTTAATCTTTTAATCTCTGATAACAATCTGCGATACTTCATAATAGTGAACTCTATATTTAAACGTCTTATCTCAGCTATCGTAAGCTAAAAAATCTATTTCCTCTGACTAGACTTGATACAAAGTATAAGTGCAGTAATTATATTAAAGAATAATAGAAAAATTCTTGAAGTTTCACGTAAAATATCTATGAAACTGTTAACTTCAAGCTCTTAATTATTTCATTATCATTGTTTACTAAGATAAAAGTATATATGAATCAAAATAATCATTTAACTAATATGGAACCAGGATTCAGGGATTCAAAGACATGTAGGAAAAGTCTAGTATTAATCATGCGACTTGCAAGTCACAATTTATTATAAAGAGCTTTTTAATTTACAAAAATAACATCTCCTTCAAACATGCTAATTATATTTTAATATATGTATATACTTAGAATTTAAAAATTAAATATTAATTTCAATCTCCTTATTCGAATTCTTAAAATCCAGTCAAATAAAAACAAATCATAAAATTTTCTTGAACACACGTACTCTTAGTAGAAGTTTTCGTCATAAGAGTATATACGACGCGTTTCCCGTATCTCATTTAATACCCAACTTATGAACTCATAATTTCACAATTATAAGTTTAACTTCACCAACCCATCTTGAGCTAACATGGTGATTAATGCTCAAACCTTCTCCATGTGAGAAGAGGCAGCTCAGCAGGAGCTCTGATAGGCTGATGACCCAACTTTAGCACTAGTAACAACGTGCATTGTATAAAAACTGTTAACTCTCCGTAAGTAGTATGATAACTTGGTGTAACGAGCAACAATCATTCAATTGTAAGTGATATGAGTGCTGTGATTCGTCTTATCGAATTTCCAAATATAATAAGACATAAAACTGACGTGACATTAACTTGACAGATCATGAGATACTCGTATATATTATCTATCAATCCAACGAAAAGGTAACGTCAATTTATCTCCCTAACGACGCCTTTGAAGTATTGAATGATTTTTATGTAAAATACACTTCGTTATCATGATTTACTTAAATGTATTAAAGGCTTTTGATCTTATAACTTTATTCTATTTTTGTATAAAGATTACGACTTTATTTAAATTGACAAGGTTTTTGAAACTTCACACCATTTTTAAACAATAAATTTAACATGTCCCTTCTCTGTACGTGAACACGAAATATCATACTTAAATTAGGTAGCATATTATTTCACATACTTTATCATTTTAAGCAAGATGTTGTAAAGCTACACCTCTCATCAAATATAGGGATGTCACGTGTGTTTATAAAGAACAATAGCTAATTGTACCGGTTAATATTTTCGTAAATATATAAATATATTTGTCACTCAAAAGAATCTTTAAGTTTACAAGTCTCATTATTCTAAAATACTCAGTTATAGCTGTGTATTCAGGACGTAGTTTTTAGAATTTAATACATTGAGTTCATGGGACCATTTGTCACTCGTGCAGTGACAGGCGATGTACCTTTATTTTGTACACACGAGCTCTACTCTGAGAATACGTAGAATGCAACTTTTTATACCATACATATAAATAATAGTTGCAGTCTTGAATAAATCAAAATGTATGATATAATTTTTTAACTAGTCTCAAACGTAAGTCAATATAAAGAACTAAGGAATAAGAATTGTGAATGGAAAAGTAATTGTAATTGAATTCATTTTGTAAATAATAATAAAACCAAACTGGTATTAAATCATATTCTTTTGATTAAATATTTTTTTTATTTTCTTTTTTTGTCATGCTTCATATACTGTGAAACTGTTACTCCATTTTTTGTGCTATGTCTTCATTCACACTGGAATTATCATTGCATTTTTAATTCTAGTTGTAATCTAAAATAACATAACTTTCGACAGTCATTAAGAATTCATTCAGTAAATAACAAAAATGAAATTTTTATTTAGATTATGCGTTTCTATTATATCTACTGAAAAATTATCATCCAACAACTTCTAAATTATTATTATTCTGATATATTTCAAATGTCCTGCAGGAGCTACCCTGACTTCTGCCCAGAACAGAGACAATAGGTTCACAAATCTGGACCTATTGCGTATCCTCGCTGAGAAGCCATGGTTGGGACAAGGTCCTAATAACCGATGGGAGTTGATCCCTCGCATTGAACAGGATATTGGGATGTACAAGATGAACCCTGGACCATCGCAGGCTGGTGACGGAATGAAGACTTACGATGATGATGTTATAAGGTAATTGAACAGCATATTATAATGAAAACTGTACGTTCTTGCATCCTAAGAAATATACAAGAATTTCTAAGACGTACGGAGAAGATTTCTAAGGAGTTACGAACACAATTTTGTTTGGATAATTGAAACTTGATCTTTTATTGAATTTATACCATACTTAGCTATATTTTGATATTATTTTCGTGAATCACGCTCTCGTCTAAAGAATTTTCATTCCTTATTCCTTAACCCCGTATCAAATTCAAGACAGTCTTGAACTCTCGTCACCTCATTATTTTCGTGTAAGTAGACACCATAACAATGATTTT